TTTATTGTCCCCTACAGATTCACATTCAATATAAATTTTAATACAAAAACCTTCAACAAACCCTTCAATTTTTTTTAATTCTCGTTTTTCGATTTGTCGATTTTTCGATTTTTCGATTTTTCGATTTTTCGATTTTTCGATTTTTCGATTTTTCGATTTTTCGATTTTTCGATTTTTCGATTTTTCGATTTTTCGATTTTTCGATTTTTCGATTTTTCGATTTTTCGATTTTTCGATTTTTCGATTTTTCGATTATTCGATTATTCGATTATTCGATTTTTTGATTTTTCGATTTTTCGATTTTTCGATTTTTCGATTTTTCGATTTTTCGATTTTTCGATTTTTCGATTTTTCGATTTTTCGATTTTTCGATTTTTCGATTTTTCGATTTTTCGATTTTTCGATTTTTCGATTTTTCGATTTTTCGATTTTTCGATTTTTCGATTTTTCGATTTTTCGATTTTTCGATTTTTCGATTTTTCGATTTTTCGATTTTTCGATTTTTCGATTTTTCGATTTTTCGATTTTTCGATTTTTCGATTTTTCGATTTTTCGATTTTTCGATTTTTCGATTTTTCGATTTTTCGATTTTTCGATTTTTCGATTTTTCGATTTTTCGATTTTTCGATTTTTCGATTTTTCGATTTTTCGATTTTTCGATTTTTCGATTTTTCTATTTTTTGATTTTTTGATTTTTAGAGATAGAGTCAGTTATGAGAAGTTAGCAGCTAGTCTACACGCATACGTCTAGTCGCACGCACACAAACACTGTGCCGAAGTCTGCCGAACTGAAACGACGTTAGAGAATGCAGACAATGGTTTATTTTCGCGGAATTTCTTGATTCGATCGCCGCCACATACTTTGATTTTCTTTTACTATACGGAGAATGGTCGCACTGCGCAGGTTTCTGAGTGTCTTTTAAAAGGAGATAGAAAACTCCGCCCTTTTGATCCCTTATTACGTGTTGCCTACATCTTGGCGCAATATTTTTAATAGGTGCGTTTTAATCATCTGCTTCTGCTTCGGAATTGTCGGTTTTCTTGTTTTAATTAGACAGGTTAAAACGACTAAACCGACAATTCCGGAAGCAGAAGCGGATGATTAAAACGCACCTGATATTTTGCTTACTGCTGTCAGTGTCAGTGAATATTATTTTTGGAGTCACATTTTATTGTTAAAGAATCAGTTAGCTCACTCGGACCGGTTAAAAGTTCCAAAATAATATCTACTCCAGGGATACAAATTCAGGATATGCAGAAGACTGCTGTTTTATTATAGGCGGTTGTCATATATTGTAATATCCGAGTTGCGCAGTGTATAAACTGGAACATTGAGATCAAAGTGCCGACGCAGAGTGAGCGATCTGATTCTTTAGCTAGAAACTGTGGCATAGGAATCAAAATGGGCGTGTCGGACCTCTCTCTTGCACCGTATAGTAATCAAAGTATGTGATTGCCGCGCTCAAAGCCCGCGATAAAAGCTATGCAATAGCTTACGCCAGCCGGGAACATTTGTGATACCAATTTATTAGAAGCCAGAGAAATTAATAGATCAAACGAACTTACCTGTGAAGTTCGATCTTGATTATTCTCCGCATCCACTTCAAAGACAATTTACTATGTAGTCCGGACCTGTCACTCAATACGCACAAGATTTTAAAGACGTAAAATAAACAAACTACTCTCTTCCCCGGTACCCGTTGCTTCCTCTTAACTGTTAGTCATTTAGTTTAAAGTATTCGTTTTATTCAAAAATATTTTGGGGCTATCGGGTTTGGGAGGGTTTGTTGTCTTTGAAGTGGATGCGGAGAATAATCAAGATCGAACTTCACAGGTAAGTTCGTTTGATCTATTAATTATTCTCCGCATCCACTTCAAAGACAATTTACTATGTAGATGTTTAAAGATTTTTTATTTTTGAATAAGACAACTAATTTTGTAGTGCATGAATCTTTTAATAACGCAAAACTGTTTTTAACATGTAAGAAACAGGAATGGTGTTCAATAATAAATTTTATAAATATATAGAACACCAGTGTGGTAGTCACATATTGTAATATAGAAATAATATAAAATTTTGATAAACGACTAAAATTAACATATTATTATTCTAATCTTATACATACACCTATTTACTAAATTCGTATAAACAAAGGATATACAATAGTGTATCAGTTGAACAAAAAGAAAAGTAAACATTAAACTAAGAACCTAGTTTCATAATTTTTTGGGCATACTGTGATGAAGAACTTACTGGCCGATTATAAAATTTATAAAATGTGGAGGAGTTTTCGCTCCAACTAGCAGCCTGTCTAATATTTTCTATTGATAAACCCTGTCTAAGCGCGGCTGAAGTAGACGCATGCCTCGTGGAATGCGGTTTAAAAACGGATGTGTCTACACCGGATCTCTGCAAAGTATCCTTAATCCATCGGGTAATTGTGTCTTTGGAAGCGCGTTTATATGGTTGTTTAAATGTCAAAAACAAAGAATCTGTATCATCCTTTCGAATGTCTTTTGTTTTTTCGATATATTTTAATAGAAGCGAGGCTACACACAAATTAGGTTTTTCACTAAAAAAAGGAATTGCCAAACAAGGTTGTTTGTTATAGCTGTTTGATGTCTTTATTAGATCCGGGATGAATATTTGAACGCCAGTTTTAGCTTTAATAATATTTGAAATTTTAATTAGAGATATTGTCTGTACTCTATGTCCTGTGGCAAGAAGGAGAAGGGTAGCTAATTTACCGGAAATATTTTTAAAAGTATCTTCCTTGACATTATTTAGAAATGAAAGTACGACCTCTGGGTCCCAGGTTGTATTATATCTAGGTTTTGGTGGTCGTTTTTTAAAAGTACCCTTCATAAAACGTTTTAGTAATGAATTTTCCCCAATGTTTCCTGGCAAAATTAGTGATAAAGCGGATCTGTGACTATTTAAACTACCATATGCAGCCGCCCTATTTTCAAACAAATGTTGTAAAAATTCGATAACGTTAGAAACGTTAGCCGTATATGGATTAAGGTTTTTTAAAGAACAATACTCCCACCACATTTTATAGGAAGTAGTATATTGCCTAATAGTATTCTCTGAGATTGAACTTATAGTGGTATTTAATGCCGATTCTGGAATTTCTTTTAGCTTAAAAGCTTCCCTGAGACATGCGCGGCCACCAGGGAAAGGTTGGAAGCTAATGGGTGTTGTTTCCTGGAAGAAGAAAACAACAAATTACGGTTAGGGGGAAAAACTATTTTATTTATAATTATTTTTGATAAAAGGGGAAACCAAGGCTGTGTTTTCCAATTTGGCACAACTAGAATACCTTCTGACTTATCTTTAATAATTTTTTGAACTGTTCTAAGTATCAGTGAGAATGGAGGGAATGCGTAGAATTTTATGTTACCCCAAAACAGAGTAAAAGCGTCAATTACTTCTGCCCCTGGGTCAACTTGCCACGAAGCGTAACGTTTACATTTATTGTTATACTGGGAAGCAAAAAGATCTATATTCGGTACTCCAAATGTTTTAACAATAGTTTTAAAGGCATAATGGGCAAGTCTCCATTCAGTTTCAGGTTTTAGAGTACGTGATTCTTGGTCTGCTTCCCAGTTTTCTTTAGACGGAATATAGGAGGCAAAAATCCATAAGTCCCTTTCCTCACACCACTGCCAGATTAATCTTGATAATTCACTTAAATTTAAATATTTAATGCTGCCCATTCTATTGATATAAGATATTGCTGTTTTATTGTCGCTTCTTATTAAGACATTGCAATGCTTTAAATTAGTAGCAAAAGTTTTTAAACCCCAGAATATTGCTTTTAATTCTAGAAAGTTAATATGGTTATTTGCCTCGTTTTCCGTCCACCACCCATGGCTTCGCTGACCCTGGGCACAGGCTCCATAACCTGTTTTAGAAGCATCTGTAAATATTTCTAGCGCATAATTATCTTGTTTTATGTTGTTATATGTAATGTCAATATTTTTTAACCACCAACAAATATCGGGTATTATGTTATTATGAATTATCATGGTATTCTCATAATTTTGATTATTTTTATTTAAGTTTCTACATTTTTCTTGTTCTAGTCGTTTTGTATATAGCCAGCCGTATTTCACAGCCGGGCATAACGAAACTAATGTCCCAATCAAACGTGCAAATTCTTTAATTTTTAATTTTCTCCCGGGAATTATCCGTTTTAACATTATTTTTGTTTTTTCTCTTTTTTCCAAAGGTATTTCTAATATCATTTTTTTGGTATTAAAAATAAAACCCAAAAATCTGCATATTTGAGTGGGTTTAAGATTACTCTTAACATTATTAATGACAAATCCCAAGCATTTTAATTGCTTAACTACAAAATTTACATTGTTCAGGCATTCTAAAAATGAAGGTGCCATAATTAAAAAATCGTCTAGATAATTAGCAACTATGATGCCCAAATTTCTAAAAAATTGTAAAACTGGTTTTAAAATTTTTGTAAAGGCATAAGGTGCAGGTGCCAGTCCGAAACAAAGACACGTGAATTGATAAAGGCTGTCGTTAAAGGAAAATCTTAAAAATTTTCTATATTTTTTATGAACTGGTACAGAAAAGTAAGCATCCTTTAAGTCAATTGTTGCCATAAACCAGTCCTTTTGAATTAGTCTTAATACAGTTCTGGTATCCTCTAGTTTAAAGTGGGGAGCTATTACGAATTCGTTAAATTTCTTCAAATTTAATATGAACCTTTTAGAGCCATTAGACTTTGGGGTTAGAAAAATTGGTGAAACATATTGATTTTTTCTTAATGAACATTTTACTACAGCACCTAACTTTACCAGCTCTGTAATATGATTTTGAAAATCCTCTTTTTCTTTTAAACTATATTTTTTACAAAAAAGAGGGGGCCCTTTTATTGGTACGCCCTTCATTGGTATTTTATAGCCCTTGACACATTGTAAAACTAGAGGATTATTGGTAATACGTTGCCAATTTTTTATAAATAGTCTAAGTCTACCTGCCTGGTGTGAATTTCCTACCTCTGCTTCTAATATTTGCGACGATAACGTTCCCTCGAGGGTTTTTGTTGGCCCCTGGCGGTCTGTCTCGCTTCCCTCGGATAGCGGATGGGGCGATATTCGTTTAAAGTCGGTCTTGATGGTCTAGTCGTACTTACACTGGTGCCCTGCGCCGCTGTTGTCGGTTTTCGGTTTATTACGCCTCCCTGCCTTCGAGGTTGATATTGGGTGAACCTTTTAATAGTGAAGGATTTTAAGTTTTTACTTGTAGATTCGATGGACTTGGCCGCTTTGATTTTGTCCGTCAAATTATCTCCAAATAAATATTCTTTTGTAGTTTCTGTTTGTTCTAAGATGACTTTCATATTATAGTTAACCAACGGCAAAATAAACTGCTTTCTTTTTTCAGTGATTTCATGGAAAGTGTTTGCTAACACTCGCGCCGAATCCCAAAGTGGGTCCACTATCTTGCTGTTGCTATTTGCCGTAGTAATAAGCTCCCCAAGGCTATGTCCTAAGGTTAATAAGGCTAAACCAATCTGTTTTTGGAGATTAACCAAGCTGTTATCCTTATTTTTATGAGCCATAGACATTATACTGGCAATCTCGGGGTTTATATCAGGGGGATTCAATTGTAAATTGGAAGGTTTCTGATATTTGGAATTTATTTCGACTCTTTGTTCACTTGTCAAGCCTTTTTGAATTATGAATTGCCATCTTGAAGCAATAGCCGGATGAAGATCAAACGTTTCATCATTTTTGTGATGTGGATCCTCTCCGAATATATTCAAAAAACCTTCTGATATAGGTGTTTGAGAGGTACTTTCCTCGTTCTTTTCAGTATTGATGAAGTCGGAACTTAGTGAAGCTGTTGTACCTCGCTGTGCACAACCTTCACCTGCGACATTTGCCGATGCACGCCGGTCTCGGTCTCTGTCGCAATTTATAACAGGCTGTGGCTCGTTTATGCTTTCCTCGGATGAAGACGAGTATGAAATAATTCTACGTCTTCGAGGCTTGCGTACTACAGAATTATCACTTTTTTCAGATGAACGTGAATGTGAGCGACCACGTTTTTTGTCAGGGGAACGAAATCGAGATCGCTGTCTTCGATTGTTCCTAACTTTTTTCTTTAAATGTTTTAAGACTAAAGAAAGATCATCTGAGCCAATAATATCGCTTGACTCAGAACTGGACCTTGGGCACCTCCTTCTCTTCCCCATCACACACGAAAACACAACGGTAATGTCACTATAATAGCACTAACGCGTTTTATTTATATTATATTATCGTGCAATTCAAGTTCACGCGGCAACTGCCCAAATCGATAACTTCTGATAGCGTACCGTACGTGTCAATGCGTCGAGCACAAGAATCCGAATGACTAACAGTTAAGAGGAAGCAACGGGTACCGGGGAAGAGAGTAGTTTGTTTATTTTACGTCTTTAAAATCTTGTGCGTATTGAGTGACAGGTCCGGACTACATAGTAAATTGTCTTTGAAGTGGATGCGGAGAATAAGCTCTTTTAGTTCTTGTATTGCATAAATGTTCCAGTCCGCAGACGTATATTAAACTCCGCTTCATACTAATACGAATAGGGTCAGATAAAACCTTCCATGGCTATAGGGACCGTGCGTGAAATATAGAGGCAGCACTACTGCCGAACTTAGCCCTCTCTAGTGTTTAATTTTAGAATTAAATGGGGTAAACATTGCAAGTAAATAATGAAGGGTATTTTTTTAAATATTAAATATAGTTAAAAATAGATACCGGCCCGTACCAAACAATCGTGTACATGGTCAAAATGACGTAAAATGTGAAACATTATTAAAATCTGGACATGCATATACATTTTAAGCAAAAAGATTTAAATGGCTAAGTGACAATAAATTGTAAAGTTGTACCTTAAACAAGTGTATCCAATGTTAAAATATAGGTATTTAGTAACACTGAATTTAAAAGTATTACAATAACATTTAAAAAATGTAAATTAATAAAAAAGATTGATAATAATAATTATAAATCTTTTTAGCTTTATGTTAATCGAAATGTCATTCATCCACTGGCGTTTATGAGATGTTCAATGATACATATATTATAGATTGCTCACCCAACTATAAAAAAATTATGAGATCTAAACAATTTTTATAACAGATGGATATAAATAATTTTAGACTACTATTTCAGAAACAATTCTACATAAAATACATAATTGCAATATGTAATACAATTTTGAAAAGGTAAACAATTTTGATATGAGGTATTATGAACTTTGGTAAGAGTTGTAATTGGACACTTATCTATTATTCTGAATAATGTTTAATGGTAATGTCACTAAAAAAATTTACAAAAAATCACTGGATTTTTAATATTTTAAAGTTTGTTACAATCTCTTTTGACAGTAATTGCAATGTATTATTTATGATTTGTTTATTTTAATAATAAATGAGAAATAGTTAATAAATTGTAAAGAGGGCCGTGATATTTTTGTCAAATTGGATATTCTTACTTCATAACATTCTACATTAGTTTTAATCAACAGAATAAACCATTATCTGTAAAATTATATTTATATAAAATGGTCATTTAAATATGTAAAAATCTTAATGTCAAGAAAACACTAAAGATTCTAATTTTTCTGTAAATGATTTCTTTACAACTAAGTGCTCAAAATTGATACAAGCTAGATAAAAAGAAAACTTTGCCCAGTGAAATACGCTTTTCGTCGTCTGATTTACATATGGATAAGCAATCTTTGTAATTATGTATATCATTGGGTGTGAGGCATAATTGTGCTCTGTGGAAATTTATAAAATTTCTTTACTATCGAATGAAATCCAGGTTTCTAAAGTGATGTGTTTGTACATCCACGGATGCAACAAGTTTTTTCGATATTGATATTACGAAAATAATTCGACTTCATTTTATTAATAATTATTAAACAATAAATGCCGTATAAAACATTAATAAATACCCCCCAAAAAGTTCACATTTTGTCACCAGTTAGCGTTAAAGTCATGACGCACGGTCCCTATAACGCAGTACCGCTGTGCCGGTCGGAGTGGGGGGTGTTAGGTTTTTTTCGTTACGGTGTTACAAAATTTCTTGATTTGGTCGCCACTCATAGCCCGTGATAAAAGCTATACAATAGCTTAAAAAATAAAGGTCAAATTTTATTTTTTTGTATATAACTAATATCTAGAAATAATGTTGGGCAGATTAACGTATGTTTAATAATACTTTTGCTACAATAATCGTTTTGTTACAAAATATGTAAAAATTGTATAAAGTAACGCTGCTCTACGATATATTAATGACAGGAAACTAGATTTAGTTGATTTTTTTTTTTTGATTTATGGCCTAGGTGTATATACCTAATATGCCAGTCTCAAGTTTGTGTTTAAATTCTCAATCATGTGTGTTTTGTGTAGGCTTTGTTACTGTTTCCCAGCGCCACTTCAGGAACAGCACTGTTAATTAGAACCCAACAGTGAATGGTAGAGTGGGGAATCCTATCAAGGCATCAGAATTAATTTTAAATAATTAAATTAAATAAAAAAATCCCGGCCAACGGTGGGATTCGAACCTGTGACCCTTGGATCCACAGGCAGAGACTCTACCACTGAGCCACCCATCCCCTTGATTTTGTTGATGAATGTAAAGATTTTTGATAACGGTTAGACCATTGAGTAAGTTAGACTTAGCATTATCAAAAATTTGCTACGGCCTTCTTTAACATCCCTTTCGCAAAAAGTTATTCTTTCTTTAAAACCTTAAAATCAAACTGTGTAAAAGTTTAATATTCTCAAGATTATCAAAGTACGATTTGGTCTATGAACCAATCTTATTGTCGTAGGAAACAAATTACAAATCAGGAATGTAAAATTAATGTGTTTTAAATATAATATAACATTTATTAGCAATTAAGAAAATATTAATAAATATATTTTAAATTTAAATGATATTCTTTTAATGCTGACATATCGGTGTTTATTAATTAATTAATTAGATTTAAACTTGTCATATAAATATAGTGAACTTTGATAAGTTTGGCCATATCCAAACTTATGAAATGTTAAATAGTAATAATTTTTCTTAACATTAAATTAACGTTTCTCTCAGTGCATTTACATTTTAAGTTACTTAAACTCGTTTATTAAATAAAAATATTACGAAATTAAATGAAATTTATATTATGCACTACTAACAAAAAAATGTTAACAAATCATAACAATGTCATTAAAATTTAATTTGTTGGTTCAGTCGAAAACACCTACCTACCTATATCACAACAATATTCGTTATGGTTGAGATGGAAAAACAAAGTAGTCTTCCTGAACTACAAGAAGTTAAATATGTGGTTACCGAAAAAGGAGAATTCAAACCTCAAACGTGTGACAAGAAACCTGACACTTTATTTCTGTATTTTACAATAATATCCGGTAAGTCAATAATAGAAATTATTAAGTTATATTTTTCTATTTTAAAAATCTAATAATTGTTTAAAATACAGACTATAAGATACTATGCTAACAAATAGTGGTGACAAAACTGGTTTATTTTATACAGAGTGTTTTGAAATAGGTCATTAATATGGCCCATTTTAAGATCAATTTTTCAAATGCAACACCCTATATATTATTATTATAGTAGTTTCCTATGAATTAACCTAGGATAAAAAAGACCAGAGATATTACATACACCGGTGTTTAACCTGCGCAAATGTTGCCAATTTCTAAAGAAAGGTTAACGAAATGCAGAAATTGGGTGGAGACCCGAACTCTGTGACAGGGACGGCCTTTGTTTATTAGCATCATAATGAACTAGTAGATTTACTTAAAAGATTTTTAATGGAATTTTGTATTATGAAATAAAATTAACATGATTTTTGTAATATCACACAGATGCTTCTACTTTTTGTGTAAAAAGAAGACCTTTTATAGAATATTGCGTTAGCGTTTATTTGCTATTAACTTTTCTACAAGAGACTACAGTAAAATGTTGAAATAGAATATTGTTATTCGAGCAACAAATGGTACTCATTGTCTACGAGTATTATAAAAAAAGCATGTGCGTAGGTAAATACTGCAAATCAAACCTTGTGGGTGAAATATTATATTTTTTCTACGACTATCACATAACATTAAAAATTAGTCAAAATAAGAAAATGCTGTTTTGTATTGTAACCTCAGAAAAAGGTATATTAAAGCTTCTTTCGTTAGGAATATTAATTAATATAGAGGATGAGTCTCATAAAACTCCCGAAATACATACGTCTGAAACCAGATAATATTTTAAAATTTAAACCTTATAAAAGTCATTTGGTCACTAGAGGTGGGTGATTATCAAAATAAATATTCGGTCTTTGATAATAATCGATTATTTTCTATCAATCGATTATTTTCAAACAATATTTTTTTTTTTCATATTTCCTTTAAAATCGACTACTTAATTATATTTCAAAAATCAAAAATAATCGATTAATTAAAAAGCCAATTAACCGATAAATCAGTGTTTACAAAAAATAATAAAGAATTATCGTTTATCGATTATTTTCAAATAATCTATTTTTTTTTTTCGTATTTCCACTGAAACAGATTATTCGATAATCTTTGAAAAATTAAAAATATTCGATTAATCAAAAATAATCGATTAATTAAAAAGTCGATTAATCGATAAATCAATTTTTCAAAAAACAAACGAATTATCGAGTATTTTAAATGATCCATTTTTCGTATTTTCTTTAAAATCGATCGTTCCATTATCTTAAAAAAACGAAAATAGTTTATTGAAAATGTTCGATTAATCGAAAATAATCGATTAATTATAACTAAAATCGATTTTCATAAAAAAATAATCGATAAATACATTATTTTTGTAACCTCTATCGGTCGCTTGTAGCATTTAGCTTAAAAATTTAGAGATTCGGATTTTTTGATCATGTTATCTTTGAAACCGCATTTGATTGTATAATAAATAATAAATATTGCTAGAATTTAGATTTTTTTGGTGAACGAAGATTTTTTTTTCGAGTTGTTTAGGCCCGATTTTACAAAGCAAGCTAAAACCTAGGTTCAGGTGAACTCGGTAAATGGTTGAACTTACCTTAAAAATTGCTACGAATTGTACATACCCCGCTCAACGTCGGTTTAAATAAACTTCATTGTTCAGGGTTGCCAGATTTCAATTTTACTAAATACGTATGATATCTTTGTTTCTCTTATTAGAAAATAAAGGAGTTATATAAAATGCCATTTTTGGCATTTCTGCTCTAAAATTATTTTTAGAGGTTATACGTAATTTTTCCTCGTGACTGATAATATGGAAAATATGAATGTGCAATCAAAAAGAACGCCAAACTTCATGTATGACGAAGAA